TCTGTGCAAACATTTCACGAAGTGGGGTCCATACAGTTGCAACACGCCAGTTGGTTGGTGTGCACCGAGTATTGGAGCTCTGCAAAGGCAGAAATCCCAGGGCCCCAGAGTTGGTTAGGCCCTGGGCACATAAACGTGAGGCCGACAATGCATGCTGGATATAGAGGCCGAAAATGCCAATGAGAAACCGGTCCACTATCTGAATCTGGCCGCAGGCCTTGATGAAAGAGGCGCAACTGCATCTCCTCGGTCCCAACTGCATTGGGCCTGGGTACAGGTACTGGGGCCCAGGCGCAGGCTCAAGGGAGGCCGCCCACACGCAACACTGGCATATAGGCAGGGAGGGCGAGTGGGCAGGGATCTTGGCCATTGCGAGCAATGCCGGCACGTTGCGCGTTTGCGAGGTGCTGTGCTGCGCTAGGCTGAGGTAGGCAGGCAAGCGCTAAGCCGTAGAGCGCTGCCTGGGCGCAGGGCGATGGCGGCCATAACCGGGCGGCCTGTGGGCGCAGAGGGGGTGAAGGGCGAAGGTGGTTCTTCGGAGGTGAAGGGCGATGTCTGGGATAACAAGGGAGAGTGAGGGAGAAGAGAGAGACGTACCTGGTGGAGAGAGGAGGTCGGCATTGGTGTTGACATCATCACTCACTGGTCGTCAAGTTGTCTGGTTGCTTCTATGTCGTAGTTTTAGTGTTAGGCTGTAGAGTAGATAGTGCGCCGGGCGCCATTCAAGAGAGAGAGCTACATTGGGTTATGCTATTGGTGTTGCTCGATTGGGCTTGGACATTGACTCACGATTCTTCTGTATCGTTCTTAAATGGATGGTTACTCTCTTCCATTGTGCTATCTGCTCTTGCTTTGACTACTTGGACTTCAATGTGATTTTGCAATTTGGATTTCTGTGCTTCGTCCACATTCATGTTCCTTGCATTTTGGTATCGGAGCTGGTTTGATTCGCCACTTACCTTGGTGCGCTGGCGTTATACAGACTTGGTGTGTTGACAATGCTTCTTCGCAGTTGGTTCTTGTGACGTCAAGCCATATTAGGCGCACGACCTGGGTAGAGAGGTGTGCGCTGGAAGTTTATACGACATTGGTTGCCGTGGTTACAGCGGAATGTATGATTGGTGATGAGAGCATGCTGATGTGGCATTAAGCTGAGGTGGCACTGCATTGCGTTGTGGGTGGTACCGAGGCTACGGCCGGTCATCAAATGCACACTCAGCTCAATTGGTGAGAAATCTGTGGTTGGGGGCAGCTATCTCCAGGTACGTTGTTCCCTTACCTTATCTATTCTCTCAATCTCTTCTTACCGCGAGGAAGTGAGTCGAACTTGAGAGTCCTCTCTTTTGGTGAGGTGTCGTGTGCGCGCTACCTTGAGAGACGACAATCTTCCCGGAAGCATCTGGAAGGAGAAAGGGCGGTGCCTCTGAAGGGTCATGGTCGAAGCACTGGGTCACGGTCACCATGCCAACCCAATGGGAGTAGGTCACACATGCGATGGTTGCTGTCCATTTTGGCACTTTGGTGCGCTGTAGAAGTCGTGCCGGGTGTGCCATCCCATAAGAGACGCCATCCAAACCGTCTATAAATATTTCTGGAGGGGAACTCGGTGTTGACTTTGGCTGTGATTGTCGTCCTGTCTGCGACGTTAAATAATTCCTGCGGAGATGGGGGCTCTCTTAAATCCCTCCTGATCAGCCAGATCAATCCGGGTAGTAAGGCTCGTTCCGTACGAGGGTAAATAAGAGTGGATGGGCTGGCTTGCTCGGCAATGACTTGGGCACAGGGGTGGGCCGACATTACACACGAAGACACCGGTGAATGATGCTTACCGGTATGTTGGATTGAGGGGAGGGTAGGTTCTAATTGATGCTCAATTGGAAACACAACCATACCCATTGTTCATACATCTGCAACATAGTTTTGTTTTTATTTTTGATTAGTTGGTTGACAGTTGCGAACACCTCACAAACAGTTTAGTATAGGACTGTTGTATAATACCATAAGCCAGTTCTGTGCAAAGCTGCTGTAAGTGAACTAATTATGATAAAACTAAACTATGTTGACAGTCTTTTGTGGATGTTGTAGGCTGCCACTTGATCGGTCAAGTAGGGGAACCTGCCGGACACATTTATTTTTTGAAAATTAGGTGACGGTCAGACACATGCTGTGGTAGGTCTCCACCAGGGGGTTGTAGTGCAGATAGTGTTTGCCTAACTGATGAGTGGATCAGACGCCGTTGAGGGTGAAGTTGACGATGCAAGACTGACACGTTCGCGATCACTTAGGGTCCCGCACGTGTTCCAGACGTTACAGCCGGGAGACGAAAGACAGCTTCGTGCTGAACGCAGAGCCCGTGCTCTAGCAGCATCGAGGGCGGGAGCAAACGCAGCAGCAATGGCCAGCGCAGCGGCATCCTCTGCTGCATCTTCTGCAGCATCCTCGTCAAGGACCCTGTTGGGAATGCCCCATGGGTCCCCGGGTACTTCCGGTTCAGCAGGTTCTGGTCAGTCCATTAGTCAAATGGCGGGCTCGCAGTTAAGCCCGTTGACCCCACGTGGCAGGGAGCTCCTAGAGCTCCAACAGGTCGAAAGGATTCGCGAACGGTTAGAGAGGGAACTGAAGCAAGCAACCGATAGAGAAAAGGAGATCAAAAGAAGAGCAGCCAGGCTTGATACGTTAGAGGCAGACAGGGCTGCATTGGAGGGTTTGTATGAGCCAGGCATGTCTGACCAACTGAAAGTGTTGAAGAATAGCATGTTGTCGCTGACTTCATGCAGAACTCTCTTGACCAGATCTTGGACCTTCTGCAAAGGTCGGGATTTAGGCCAGCAGCACTGTCGCCGTTGCCGTTAACGGCGATGTCAGGCCCCTTTCCGGTACAACCTGGCACGCAGCCAAGTGGTACGTCTGCAGCAGTCGCACAGACTGTTGCTTCTTCTTCTTCTGGGTCAGCGGTGGTTGCTACACCATCACCGCAACAACTTGTTCCTCAACAGGGACAGCAGCAAAGTCAATGGTACCCAAAGACCCCTATGAAACCGCCCCTTGCCTTCTCTGGAGAGAAGAAGGACGAGGAACTCAACACATGGTTGAGAACGGTTCCAGTATGGGTAAAGGCAAAGATGACTTTGCAGAGGAGGAGGTGATTACTGCTGCATCTTACCTTAAGGGTAAGGCAGCCAAATGGCTGGATGGTTTAGTCGCAAAGGCCGGGTACGGACGACGCATGGCGGACTGGGCTAAGACCATTACGTTAGACCAGTTCTTAGAAATGGTAGAAGCTCGCTGGCACAATCCAGAACAGGCGCAAATTGCCACTGATGCGATGCACAGACTAGACCAAAGAAAGTTCAAGTCAGTCAGAGAGCTTACGACTACCGTAGAGAGCCTCATCGTCGTTCCTGGCATAAACTACGACGACCAGTTCTTGTTGACCACGTTTGTGAGATGTCTCCCAGAGAATCTCAGGAATTTGTTGGCCAGCGAGGCTCGCCTAGAGTGTCTAGAAAAGCCTTAGATTCAGAGGCCACTCTAGGAAGTGCTCAACCTACTTCAGTTGACGCAAGGAAGAAGAAGAGTCCACAGGAATGGAAGAAGAAGGGGAGCAAATTGATGATGGTTGAGTCCGATGGGACTCAAACAGAGATCGAAGAGCTCACAGACCTGTTGGACTATTCAGTGTACGACGACGAGGAGATAGCTGAGGGTAGCACCCTCGCCGCAGTAGTTAAGACTAAGGCTGGTGGCCGAGGGAAGGGCCATCAAAAGAGTCAAGGGCAGGCCGCCTCCAATCAGACCAAAGTTGCTGATTGGGTCAAGGTAGGTCTTGATCAAGAAGTGTGGCGGGATCGAAGAGTGCGTGGTGCTTGCATTAACTGTGGTGAATACGAACACACCCAGTACAAGTGCAAGAACGCAAAGGTCACACAGAAGATACCTCCTAAGATGGGGGCACCTTCTTCCCAGGCTTCTAGCTCGGGAAACACGTGAGGCCGGTGGAAGTTTCAGATGCTTTTACTCATGGTGAAGTGGGCCTGATACCCTCCCCACTTCATGAGATGGCCAAGGCTAATGACTCCTTAGTCACCCTGCAGACTCATCCAGACCAAACTATGCTCTGTGCGTTGGATGTGTCTGAAGCCTTAGAAGATTTGGAAAGTGAGTGGTCAAGTAAGGACCCTCGTGAATCTTGGGTGGCACTAAGGAAAGGTCCTAGAGGTGAACATTTTGTTGTGGAAGTTGATGTAGGAGGCCGCAAATGTGGTGCCTTCATAGACATCGGCTCCGCGCGGAACTACAAGTCGTGACTGTTTGCACCTAAAGGACCGGGTACAACAGCTTAGTAGACCCGTAGCATCTACTTTGGCCAATAAGGAGCTCATGATTTTCACGGACTATATCAAGGATGTAGTTTGCACCTTCTCCTATGGAGGAGGGGAACTTAATCACAAGATTTCGTTCCTGGTTAGCGACGACTTACCGTTTGATATGCTGTTAGGAATGTACTACCTTGAGGTTGCCAAGCCCCAGTTTGACTGGGACAAGAAAGTGCTGAAGTATAAGTTGCCTGATGGAAGAACAGTTAAACTAAGTTCAAAGCCAGTAGTATAATCGATACCTATGGCTGCTAATGTGCATCAGCGTTCTATAATTATTATAAACAAGACCAAGAGGAGGGTATGTACCTAGTGTATGTTTCTGAGAAAGGGGCGGCCGTTAAAACACCCCCAGAGATAGAACACGTCGTTGCTAAGTTCCCTGATCTGTTCACGGAGCCTACAGGAGTCGTAGAAAGGGAGGTTGTCCACGCCATAGAAATCATTCCAGGGAGTAAAACCCCAAAGGGAAGGATCTATAGGATGGCTCCGGCCGAGTTGGACGAACTTCGGCGACAACTAGAAGAGCTGATAGAGAAAATGGATCCGGCCGAGTACTTCCCCCTACGGATCTCCAGTGCTATTTGTACCGAAGAAGGGGGGTACATTGAGGATGTGCATTGATTATAGAGGCCTCAATGCCATCACAGTAAAGAACGCAGAGCCTCTACCTTGCATAGACGACCTATTGGATAGGGTGCAGGGATGTAAGTACTATAGTAAGATAGACTTAAAGTTCGACTACCATCAGATCGCAATAAGATCTGAGGATCAACACAAGATTGCTTTTCAGACCAGATACGGTCTGTATGAGTTTGTAGTGATGCCCTTTGGCCTTTGCAATGCGCCGGATACATTGCAGCTGCCATGAATAGGATCTTCCATGACCACTTAGATAAGTTTGTCGTTGTCTACTTAGACGATATCCTTATCTTTAGTATGTCGAGGAGCATGCACAACACGTTGAGACTATACTTTCACTCCTGCGACAACACAAGTATAAGGTCAACTTAGAGAAATGTGAGTTCGGACGCACTAAGATCTTATACTTGGGTCACAAAGTATCCGCAGAAGGTATTAGGCCGGAAGATGCGAAGGTGGCTAGTATAAGGGACTGGCCACGACCTCAGACTGTTATTGAGGTCAGATCTTTCTTAGGAATGTGCGGCTACTATAGGAATTTCGTAAAGAACTATTCTACAGTCGCCTCTCCTTTGACAGATCTAACTCGACTAGACACGCCGTGGGATTGGAGTGATGAGTGCGAGGCTGCTCTCAAACGATTGAAGCATGCACTCATGAATCATGAGGTTCTCATGGTGCCCGATCCTCAGAAACCATTCATAGTGACCACTGACGCAAGCCAATACGGCATTGGCGCAGTGCTGGCTCAGCAGGATGGGAAGAAGTCGAGGATGATTGGGTACATGAGCAAGAAAATGCCATCGAAGAAATTGGCAAAGTCCACCTATGAAAGGGAACTCTATGCTCTTTACAAAGCACTTGTCCATTGGAGTCACTTTCTACTGGGAAGGTTCTTCTATTTGAGAACTGACCATCAGACCCTCAAATGGATCAAGACACAACCGACTCTCTCTGATGCACTCAAGCGATGGATTGAGGTCATAGATCAGTATGACTTCAAGCTAGAGTATCTGAAGGGAGAGTACAACAAGGTTGCAGATGCGCTATCTCGTAGAGCAGACTACCTAGGTGCGCTAGTTTCTGAGTTTGGTGTATCTGAAGAACTAACTCAATCGTTGGTGGGAGCCTATCAGGAAGACCCTGTCACGATGGACATCATACGCAAGCTTCAGGCAAAAGGCAAGGCCACAGAAGATGAGTTTGTGATGGTGGATGGACTTCTCTTTCTTGATAAGGCCGGATGTAAAAGGTTAGTTGTTCCATCTAGTGAACGTTTGCGTAGTTTATTTCTATGAGAATGTCATGACACAACCGGACACTTTGGCTACAAAAAGACGAGTGCCAATCTAGTACAACGATTTTGGTGGTCTGGAATGCTAGATGACGCAAAGAAGTATGTAGAGACCTGTCAAGTCTGTCAGCGGGACAAGCCGCGAACTCAAGCACCGCTTGGGTTACTGAAGCCCTTACCTATTCCAGCTGGTCCAGGAGAGAGTGTTTCCATGGATTTCATGGACACCCTAGTGACCAGTAAGAGTGGCAGGAGGCATATCTTTGTCATCATTGATCGATTCACCAAATACGCTAGACCAATTGCCATGCCAGAGACCGCAAGGAGTGAACACGTTATCAAGTTGTTTCAGGACAACTGGGTACTTGATTTTGGACTACCAAAGTCAATTGTTAGTGACAGAGATGTACAATTCACAAGCGAGCTGTGGAAGAAGACTGCTGAGCAGATGGGCAGTCAACTTCAAACGACTTCAGGGAATCATCCCGAAGCTAATGGACAGGCTGAACAGATTAACAGAGTTGTACAACACTTGCTGAGGCATTACATCAAGCCCAACCAGGACGACTGGGATGAGAAGTTACTTGTCATCGCCAGCCTGTACAATAACGCTGTACACAGCAGGACCGACGTTAGTCCTAATCAGCTGCATTTGGGTGGAAGCCTAGATCAACTCTAGACTTCCTCCTACCTGAAAACCGATCCTCTGCAACTCCGGGCACACTTGAGTATGGTGTGCAATATGAGAAGTTGCTTTGCAGACACACTTGAGTATGGTGTGCAATATGAGAAGTTGCTGCAGCAAGCTGTCGAGCACATCAAGAAATCTCAGCAAGCAATGATTGCTTCTGAGAACAAACATCGTCGACAGTCCTCATTTCAGGTAGGGAAATGTGTCTGGGTCAACGCTAGTGAGCTAGGACTGGAATTCGGGATCTCTCGCAAACTAATGCCTCAGTACTTCGGTCCATGGGAAGTCCTGGATATAGTTGGGGATGAGATGGATGGTCCCACCTATGTTATCCGTATCCCTGGTCCTTACGCACTCACCCTGTCTTTCATGCCTCAAAGCTTGCACCTTTCGCTGAGACATATCAATTCCCTTCAAGGAGATCGATGATGTCCCCAACCATGGATGGTCAAGTGGACATCGACGACATTGTGGATCACAGAGACCTGCCTGTTCCAAAGCCACTGGGTAGAGGAAGACCTCCTAAACCCAAGCGGGAGTATCGCGTCAGATTCAAACATCATACGGATCCGAAGGAAGATCGGTGGTTCACCAGAGAGGAACTGATTGACACAACTCCTCAAGTGGTGGCAAAATATTAGAGAATGTTAAAAAGGAAGGCACCTGCGAAGTAAGCATCTCAGCGGACTTTCGAAGCTAAGGGGGATGGAATGTGAGGATTGAGCCCTCAAGAAGGGGCCTTGCCATGATGTACATGTTCTGGGCTAAGGCCCCAGCAAGCCTCGTGCCCGCCCTAAGTGAAGGC